GAATCATTTTCTCTCCTATCGAACAACTAAAAGGGTGGGATTAAATGCCTTTATTACTGGCTTCAGTGCTAGTAGTATTAACATCATTACCACTATAGTCAGAGACTGACCTCAGTAAATGTTAACCGAAATTTGGAGAAGGTGTCTTGATTAGGACATCTTCCTAATATATGCTTATAATATTGACCACCTGGCAGCATAATTCTAGGATTTTTGAGAAACGCTAAAAGGCCGGCTTTTAAAGGCATTTTTACATCCGTGCATGGATCACAGTCGATGAAAAACCATATACTTAGTTAGTATGCATTTTATTTTCATTAATTTCCCATCCCCTTATAAATTCAAATGTATGCTGTTAAAACGTACAAAAAAACGATTCATTGTCTTACATGTTTGCTTGCCAACCATGTCCTCTTCAATCTTTATACTTGCATAGGGTCGATCTTTCCGTTTTAGAAAGGTTTGTTATCATGAGATTTGGTAGGACCGTGCACTGTCAATTCAAACAGGACCGTGCCTGCCTTACTTAATTTCCGAAAAAAAGTTATGCCTTAGCATGATCATAATCCTTCGAACAGACCCTTCGAACTGAAGTACCTATACCAGATTTATATACCAGAAAACACACGGGCAAACCGAAGGACCCTCTGTCAAGCGTAATCCCTAGCCGCTGGCCTTGCAGTGGCAAAACATCTGTGAAATATGTGGGTCTGGGCTTTAAGCGGGTACCAGTGTTTCCAGTATAGTAAATAACCATACAAACTTTTTATCTGTCCGTTTACTAATGTCCCTACTGAAACACAACATATTCCACATCCATGCATCATTTTATGAGCACTATAAAGCCATTTTCCCGACAATAGAGAGGGTTTTATGATTTTCGTTACGCGGAAAGCTATCAGCTTGCAGACTGAAAATCTTAAACGCAAACTCAATGGTAGACCGCGTTCAGAATTACATCGGGAATTAAAAGACCTTTGTAAACCAAAATGTTTCCTTCCTTGAAGTATAGAGAAGACGTTATTTTCTACCATAAAACTCCACAAAATATAGCTCAATTTATAAGGACATCGACACTGCGAGCATTGTCTCCTAAAGGCGTGTGAAACGAGGCGCATTTGGAGGACAGCATCTTGGTTTGTCAAAATTATCCTGGAAAATGCTGCGTGATAGATAGTACAATTTAAAATGCATTTGAGAAGTTGGTAAAAACTCCATGAAATCGGTCACTGACTGTACTTGGGCCCTCACGCAGACAATTTCTTTTGAGAAGAGATTTTTAAGGTGTCTAGAGTGGAACTATCTGCCTTCGGTGCATGTCATTTGAGCCCCTTCCTATGTCCTCAATGTAATGCATATGAGACCTATGTCTGGTGTACAACAGTTTCCATCCTTTCTGTAATCACCTCTTTTCCTTCCTCCCTCCTTGTGGTAGATCCTTCTTCACATGGGCTTCCTGCAGTATGTTGGATTTGACAGCGGCTTATCTTGGGGTAAGTCAGGGCACAAATGTCTTATTTTTTATGACTTTTATGTTGCATTTTTAACTTTGTTTTGCCTTTGCGTTTCAATACATGCTACAGTTTACTTAGTGGACAAATGTGGAGCTAAGGATGTGTTTAGGTAGGACATACCTCTGCGATGTTTTACATCAAAAAAATAAACTTACCTTTTACAACATATTTTTGTTCTTGAAGCCCCTATTCCAGTAAATTTGAATTGCGCCGGGATACCAGTCTCTATATGCACTTCTTTCCGGCAGCTGGTAACAGTAGTGATTGCAGGAAGATGGCTACCCAAGAGGTGTCGTTTTGTTTTACTGGCTTTTGATGCCCTTCTAAAACTAAGGATATATCATAGAATGCATGCATGTAGTCATCCTTTCTTGTAGTCATCCTGCGGTACATTACGTCTTATTCAAAGTTTACACAGGAAACAACAGTACTGTTTCTCCACAGTGCCTGCTCTCAAAAATGCACTTGATGAGCCTCAAAGCACTGAACATGACATAAAGTCGATTTAAAAATAATGCCAGTACACTGAAGTGCATTTCTTATTAAACTACATACTACACTACTTTTTAAGTTTCTATCAACCAAAATCACACCCCAGAGCGGCGCTGAAGAATTATGTTCCATTTATAATAGTCTGTCAAATTAATCAAATAAACATCCCTGCCAGCGGGGCGGGGGTGACGATAGGGGGATCCGGGTGTATCCAAAGTTGCTGGTTAAGAAGTATGTATTATGTTGCAACTCAAAATACCAGAATGCTGTAGACGGACCTAAAGGTAATCTAACTCATTTTTGACTATTTTTGAACGTATAGTGCGTTTTAGGTGATATTTGATATTATTTTTACGGATAATTTTGTAATATGCATACTCTCCCCGGAAGTTCGATGGGGAGATCCGGGGGTGACGACGGTGATGAAGACAGAGATATGCGGGTTGAAAACACCGTCCTCAACCCCGTCGAATCCCCGTTGTCACCCCCGGATCACCTCCCAATCTCCCCGGAAGTTCGCGGGGGATCCGGTGATTTGGCTATCAGGGATGTTTAAATGCAATATGTTATTCCGAGAATGAGTGCATATACGGTATGTACATCATTTATCGCAAGTAAACCTGTGCATAAATAAGTTATAATATGGGCCCAGCTAAATGTTGATGCCTGGGGAATGAAACTGAATAGGAGTAAAATAGAAGGCAATGTGATCTCTAACAGTTTGCTATGTTAGTCGTATAAACAGGCAAGCACGAATCTATGTGTTGTGGACAGCTACAGTCGGCTGCCATTCTTTAAATTCCCTCTAGCAATTGCGAATACTCAGTGTAAAACGTGTTTTCCTTAATTAGCCCCGCATTTGATCCGAATAAAAAGACGTGCTAACAATGACGTCGCTATCCCATGAAGTACGAACTTATTCTATTTCAAGAGTTTATGGACTTTTTTCAGCTGTGTATAGGAGAAGTTTATATGTTTGCTTATTGCCTTCATCGTATTCCAACTGTGACTAAGTGCTGCGAACCAGA